ACTGACCACGTCATTTGCATATCAATTGCGATTCCAGTTCATTGATATCGACGTAGTCAAGTTTTAAATTGCAATGGTACTCATTCATGTGTATCAGTTTCACAATGAGAACAACATCTCTCAGTCCAAGTCATATTTGTTAGCCACAGTTTAAGTCTGCGAATTGACCATTCCGGTTGGTGTCAAATTTGGTTTAGTTAAAAAAGACGATTTTTTTCAAGGCAGAGAATTCAAAAACGTTTCAATGGATTCAATCATTGCTTGTTTAGTTTTTGTCACCATTCTAGTTGGCGTGTCTTCAGGTACTTCTGCGAACAGTTCAATTTCAGCCCCTTAATTTTGGACTCATCCAAAAATATTTCTTTATTCAGCACCTCAAACGAGAAGCCACACAACATCAAAGTAAGAATAGATGAGCTTTTGGATCGGGGGCATTGTGCTGATACGTCACAAACGTGTTTTTGTCGTTGTTTAATGTCACCGGCTATAATATGATTTTAAAAGTAGTATTAATGTTGGGTTTTTTCGAAATCGCAGCACAAATGTGATGAGTTTACAGAAAATCGAAGAACTTATTAAGAACGGGTCAAATGTCAATTTCAAAGATGATAACGGTGAATTTCCAATTCACGTAGCTAGTGCTTTGGGTAGGCTTTATTTTCATTCAAATTTCGCGACAAATATTAACTTGTTAAAACTTAAAAAATTCTCTTATCCAATTGACGTCAACGATTAAACTTGTATTTAAGGTGAAGTACAGGTTGTTGATGCACTTATCAAGAGAGGAGCTGATGTCAATATATTAGACAATTTTGGACGAACGTAAGTTATACTGCATTTTTTGATTGAAACATGGAACTAATTCAATTGTCTTGTAATTTTAAGACCGTTACATAGAGCCGTTTCGGAAGGTAAAAGATCCACTTATTTTCGTATAATAAGTTAAAGAAGTAGTCAAATGAGTTCAGTGTTACTAAAATTGTAAATGTGGCGAAGTGGCATTGTGATTTTAATCGTTCTACATTTACAATAAATTTTCCAATTATAGGTCATGCTGGTGTAGTTGAATTGTTAACTGAGAACCATGCGAACATTAGCATTCGTGCAACAAACGAAGTGCTATGGATATTGTGATTAAAAGACTCAATGGAACCGACCCTGGCAGCTTCGATTACTTTGGTAAAAACATGTTTCAAACACATCCACATTGAAATGTGAATAACAAAAAAAATTAAAATACTTCTTTCCATAGCCTTTGAAAATATACATGAATCGTTACAGCGCGCCCGAACATCTTGGAAAGGTAAGTAGCGTATTTGAAGTAACATGGTATTTGTGGTAGGAATATGTTTTTTATCTTCTTCTAGCCTGCCAAACATATTTTGTCGATCCGACATCTCGCATTCTAGGCGGGGAATTGGCAGTAAAGAAGGAGTTTCCATGGATGGTAACATCGAGTTTTGGCACATTTTCAAATAGCTTTTAATATCTCTCTTGATAATTTTATGGAAATAGGCTGCACTTGGTTACCTTTCCACCGACTATAGAGTGACTTTTGACTGTGGTGGTACGGTCATATCGGAAAACTATGTATTAACAGCAGCACATTGTGCAAGAACCCAACAGCCTCCGATTGTTTGCCGTTTGGGTAAAGTGAGTAAAGATTTGAGTAGCT